GATCTGTTAGAGGCGTATACCGCGTTGCAGCACAGGCACTTGGAACGTCTCAATAAAAATAATAATGGTAAATAAACACGAAATGTATTTACTACCAAAGTTTTAATGTTTCGCTACTCTATTTCGCCTATTATTGCCGATAACTTCTTGTAAATGCCGTTCAAATGCTAGCTCCTCTGCAACACACAGGCACACCGCACGCACGCCACTGTGCACAAACAACAAGAATAATAGAGTTTATTCTATTATTCTTGTTGTTTGTGCACAGTGGCGTGCGTGCAGTGTACTTGTGTGTTGCAGAGGAGCATTTGAACGGCATTTACAAGAAGTTATCCGAAATAATAGGCGAAATAGAGAAACAGTAAGACTTTGGTAGTAAATACATTTCATGTTTATTCACCTCTTTTTTTATTGAGACATTCCAAGTGCCTGTGCGTTGCAGTGTACACAGGCGACATCGTTCGCTATTGAAGAACTACCAGCTGGAACTCTTGGAGCGCAAGGCGAGCTGATGAGCAACTAATTTTCACGTTTTATATAAATTAAACTAAAGAGTGAGAAAGACATCTAAGTGGCGATGGCATGCATGCCTGCATCTTTTCATACAGCTTTGCCTGAGCTATTTCATAACTGTGTTGAACACAAGTCTACATTATGACATACACACAGACTTCCACCGAGTCTACGTGTGGGCGATATGTGTGAATGGAATCAGTAGTGGTGAGAGGCGGGTTATGGCATGAGGAGACGCCGGGAGCTGTCTCGCGCGCTTATATAGCTTGCACACAACGAACTTTGTTGAAGATGGCAAATAATCCACCAGCTTGAGTATAGTGGGTAGTTAGTAGTTAGCTTACTGCGGCAATGTCGCATGCATATGCATGTACATGCCCGTGTGCGTGGGTGCAGGTAACGAGGCGCGCGTGCGCGTATATGCATGTGAACAGGCGTGCGTGACGCGTGTGTGCGCGCCTGCGTACGCATGCACGTTCGTGTGCGTGCGTGCGTTCGTGCGTGCGTGCATTGATGTAGCTAGTGTCACAATGAACGACATCGCATGCTTCACAAAGAATTCATGTTAAAAATGATTAAATTATTAAATTATGTTAAAATTAAGTTTAATCATGTTATAAATATTTAAATAATGTTCTAGCGTTTAGTCACTCTATAGATTACTATAACCGTATATACCTTCGACTTCCCCATACATTACGACTCCACAAAGAGCGAGAGCTTCATAGCAAACTCACACGACGATCTATAAGCAGCAATTCTAACCTCGGGTAAGCAGACTTTGCTACCACAAAAGACACATTTTAATGGGCGACCGTGAGTGGCAATGGCGGAAGTAAACGTCATTATTTATCGCAGCGGTTCTTCCGGTGTCATTACTACGTAATAGCTTACGACAGACGCGATCCTCGAGAGATACGGCACACGTCTGCCGGTGATCTAATCCGCCGTGCAATGCTATTATTTACATCATGATATTACATCATGCTACATCATGATGTTAGCGCATCGGTATCATGAGATCGAGCGTGCACGCGCGCGTATACGCTCCCGTATGCACACGCGTGTACGCATCTCGTGTGCAAACAAGTTTGGCTCAACTTCAACGCACGATCATTATAATTGGCGGGCTATAGCACTCATCTTCCAATTATCTAAAGTCGGAATAACATAAATTGCTATACAGCGATTCGATCCGCACCCATGCGCACTGCGCACAATTTCGCTTGTTCGGCATGACGCCGACACGACGCATGCGCATTGCACGTCCTCCGGGAAGGTATCACGCGTACAAATCAGCCAATGAGCGGTGGGACGTCATAACGCTTTTTGGCGTAAAATCGCGTTGCGAAGTCTCCATTTCACGTGTGTGCCGGGAAAAGTTTGTTAACAGAAAAAATCATGGACGGATTTTTTGAATTAACGACATATATGGTGTCACTTACAACGTCCATTCATAGGCTGGAATTGTGACTTCTCGAACGAAAACCCGCTGCTAATTTATGGGATTTATTTGGCATGCATGGCCGGCCGCCTATGGGAAATTCCATGGGTTTTCCACCGTAATATTCCACCGTATAATTCCAGAAATGTTATCCGCCGATGCACGGTCGTGATGAGCGTTGGCTACGCGACGCGTTACTGTGCAGTATTTATTACTGCACGCGTGTGCGCGCGTACTAATGGCCCTGTCACACATTGACGATTTAGCCAGCGTATGCCGGACGTATCAAAAATTTGGTGAATACGCTGACGTACGTCGAATAAGTTATGGGTAAGTTTTGTATAAGTTAAGAGCACGCTGAAGCACGCTGAAGCACGCTGGTATACGTCGTAGTACGGCGAGGTCGTCAAAAAATTTTGAGCATGCTCAAAATTTTCCGACGTATGCCAGCGTATGCCCATACGTCCCGCATACGCGGGCCATAAGGTGTAGGTAAGTTATGCGATCGTTGACACACGTTCACACACGTTACTTGTAAGTTACTCATAAGTCGAAATACGTCGAGATAATGTCTAGCGTACCCAAAACTTATTTCTAACTTATGAGTAACGTGCTTTAAACCTATGTGTAACTTATCTCCAACGCATATTGACGTATGTAGACGTATTTGACGTGTTCCGGACGACCACAGAACTTACTGGACGTGTTTCTAACTTACAGCTACCGTATAATGGCGTATTGGCAGCGTTTAGGCGAATTGGTATATAAAAATGGTATTGGCATGTTGATACTGCGACGGTGATGTTGATACTGTGATGTCTAGTGCGGTTATGATTTGAATCGTCGAGCGGCAGCCTTTTTATAGGCTACGACACGTGATCGTCGGCGATACGCTACCGCGCGCTATGCATAAGTTAGACTATCGTTGGGCATAAGTTGTGAACGCCGGCAACACGCTAAGCATTCGTTGGTATAAGTTATCTTATAAGTTATCGAAACGTTCTATATACGTTACTAATACGTTAAGTATACGTCCAACTCGTTATGAATACGCTATGTATACGCCCAAAATGGAAAAAAACATCGATAGTTCAGCGTATGCCAGCGTTTTAGAGAAATTTTGATACGTCCGGCATACGCTGTCTAAATCGTCAATGTGTGACAGGGCCATAACTACGGCATGGATGCAGACGATTACATGCAAACACGTCGTATGCCGCTGTGTGTTTACTGACGGGTGTTTCACCCGGGGAGTACGTATGTGCTGAAAATAACACCGAACACATCAGTCAGTGTCACTTCTCACCTGTCTTATTTTTGTTTGCCCGTTCAACAATAATCCCGCAATGTTTGAAGCTTTTTTTTTAAAACAGCTTTTCTCATTTGATGACTCATTTTGCTATGTGCCTACAACTGTATCCGAAACATTGACGCTAAAGGTTCATTTTCTTCAGACATATAGTCAACAATGTACACTGATATCACGCAACATTTAATGAAACGAAATCGAATACCCGAAATATGCCCGAGGGTCAACCTTGAATGACGGCTCGTTCGCAATAGCCCGACAAACTGTTTCCGACTGAAGAGAAAACGTATTGATTTTCTTTTATGTGGTTGATCATTGATATTATACGTGTACACCTCAACTGCACTATAGGCCACCCGTGAAAGGTTCCAGTAACTGAACTAGCAGCCACTTCAGAGGTGCGTGCGAGATGAGCTATATTTGTCACCTGACGCTCCTACCACTTTCCGCTACTCTGCAATCTACCTATATGCGCAGTGAGAAAATTCTTACACTACAAAAGCATTTTTGAACATACGCGAATGAACACGGTGATATATTGAAAAGTTTTGGCGTAGGAGCCAAGCGAGGCAGGTATAGTCCTAGAAACGCCTCACGAACTTTCTGGTCGGTTAAAAAAAATGCAATTCCAGCGTACACGAAAATTTCAAAATAATATAATATATATATGTTTATAAATAATTTATAAACAAAAATGAATCACAATTTGTGACGGTAGATGGCGCTATACCCGCGTTGATGTTTCTTAGCATAATAATAATAATATAATAATAATAGTATAAATCATAATATGTTCATAGCAGGAATTTTGCATTAAAGATATTGTCAATGAAATCTTGTAAAACGAACCAGACGAGTGTGACACCACAGACTGTTTGTTATCTGCGTGTCTATATAATATGCTATATAATTGCCAAACCCTACCTAATTTGCATAATTTTTTTTAATATCAAAACCCCTAGCCCTTATTCATTCACATACCAAAAATGAACAAAATCCGTTGAACCTGAACTGACTAATGGCAATTCCCATTTTTGGCAAAAAATTGCCGTGGCTCGAAAGTACGTCGACTGGCGTGCTCCAAAATAGGACGTTTAATATGGGAGCATAGCAGTAACAACTATACCCAATTTTAAACATGTGGGTCAAACGGTTCCTGAGTTATCGTTGACCGAAACCAAATGTTGACGGATGGACGGACGGACGTACGACGGACGGCGACCCATGGCAATAGCTCAGCTTGACGATGTCAAGGTGAGCTAAAAATTAGTGTTGCATTCTGTGAGTGCATCGAAACAACGCCATAAATGTACCGTGACACCCCCACAAAATCTCTCAACCATAACATAGGCTAGCTGTAACCAGTTATTCCAATTGTAGGTTCGTACGAGATTATTTAAAATTAATGCGCGAAACAGAGACCAGTGCAAGTTAGTGCAGAGCTGTAAAGTTCCTTACACAGGTTAGTAATTGCCTAGGTAGTGAAGACTAGGAGTTTAAAGATTAGCAGTGCTGCTAAGAAGAAAACTGTTGAAGTTAAATTTTAATTGAACTTTTATTTTTAAAACATCAACAGCTAAAGTATCATGTTTCAAGTGACGCGTAGCACAATAATCGCGAGCAAAATTAAGATTGCGATTAAGAGTAGCACGAACCATCCTGGTTGGCAGCCGATGCTCATCGAAATGCCAGCAATCACTACAATTACAATGCAAGCTAGAGGACGGCACTCACCTATCGACGACAGGAACTTGATTGCATCCTGGTCTGCAACGGGAGGCGCCCAGTTCTCTGGAAGACTTCGGGTGGCTGGACTCAGCAGAGGTGACCCGAAGTCCATGTTGATGCTGGAAGAGGCAACGGGCGAATGCATAACGAGAGTGGGTGCAGGTGTGCGAGGAGGAGTGAGAGAGAAGAAGCCAACCTCGTAAGCACACTCGCCGACGCGCCACTTGCATCGCGTAAACGCTTGATAGGAATGAGAATGGTGTCCGCCGCTTTTTCGTACCCGCAGACTAATAATAACACGCTGAGTTGGTAGCGTACAACGCACTGATACACAGACACCAAGACACAGGAATAATAGTCTAGCTGGCTCCACATTGGTGCTTACAAATGCTTTGCGGTGTGATAACCAACCTATTGATTAATATTAGGTTCCTGGTAGATATCATAAAGAAAATGGACGAGGAATCAGTGTAACAGCACTACTGCCTTCTGTTCAGCAGCAGGACTTTAATTGGTGGATATTTAAATGAGTTAAGAATTAAGGATATTTAAATAAATCAATACTGGACCAACGGAAGTTGGCGGAAAGTCACACACAGTGAATGATCTTAGCCCACATACACCTACCACCAACCTGTCACCCTGACAACTGTCCAGGTACACCTACCACCAGACTATTGCAACAGTCACTGCCCACGTACACATACCACTAACTTGTTACATTGCCCACCGGCAATGCAGGTACACTTATCACTACCGTGTCGCCTAACGTATGACAGCAAAAATATAAATTTCGCCAAATGTTACATCAAAACTACTGTATAAAGAAATAGCACACATACTCTATTTACCTAAAATTATCCAGAGTGAATTGCTCCAAAATTAAAGCTCTCTTGAATTCTTGTTTTCTCATACATGTATGGCTTCATGAAATGTATATGTACATATATATAAATATACAGTTTCTTGAGTTCTGAAAATACACAAACACAACACTGAAAAAATCCATCCAGATATCTGACTTTCTTATTCATCTACCACGGACGGGTAAATCCGCACACCACACTGAGCTATAAACTGCGTGAAAACCACTACCCTCACTGAATGCTCAACGTTTTACAATACACAAACTTTTTGTGAAAAATGTTCCCAAATAAAGGTTATGCCTAAAAAAAGACGTTTTGTTTTCGCTAACTCGACCGAGTCCATTTTAAACAGCCGAGTCGAAACTTTTTATTGTAATCAGCCAAAAAAAAAATGTTTACATTTAAATATTTTTTTTTTTAAATCCCAACGTGATATCGATCGGTGAATGCATTGATTTGACTTTGAAGTCATTATATGGGCTGTTATAAGTATAAAACAAGTATTTGTATACAAGTATAAGTTAGAATACAAATTTTTTTTTTATAAAAACAGTTTTGCCAGTTTTCAGCTCGTTAGCGGAAACAAACATATTTTTTTTAGGCCTTAGAGAATCACTATCCGAAAGATTTAGGCATAAACAGATGTGCTCAATCACAGGCACCCACGCACGCACGCACGCACGCACGCACGCACGCACGCACGCACGCACGCAAGCACGTAGAGATAAATAATTATGTGTCTAATTTTCAAAACAGCGACTCAGAAACCAATACTTACTGGTTCACAAAGCTATAACTATACATACAAGTGCGGTACCAGCATTGCACAAATTCACACATTCTACTCTAACAGCTCTCGCTGAAAATCCAATTATAATGAGGCTGTCACATTTCATCCACATCAATACAATTGTGGCGTACGACCAAGGGCTTCAGACTAAACTGTCTGAACTCAAATCATCGTAACATTGTTGCTAAATATTTCAGTTCTATATTATTATATGACAGTGATGCAACGAAGTCTTAGATGCCAGTAAGTGCTGCTACACTGTCATGTACGTGCGGCATGATGTGCACTGACACATACCTGCAGGTGACCAGAGTTGCGATGAGGGACAAAGTTACGACACTATATATACGTACAACGTAGCAGTTCATCATGCTCATCACAATCATCATCATTCTTATCCATCACCATTAACCTCACCATTTATTACCATCCCCATTAACAACAGGAATACCACTACCACCAGCAGCGGCGGCGGCAGCGGCGGCGGCGGCAGTAGCAGCGATGGCAGCAGCAGCAGTGACAGCAGTAGCAGCGACGGCAGCAGCAGCAGCAACAACAACAACAGCTGCAGCAGTAGCAGCACCAGCAGAGCGGTAACAGCAGCAGCGGCAGCAGCAACAGCAACAGCAGCTACAGCAGTAGCAACAGCAACAGTAACATCAGAAACAGCAGCAACAATTAACAACAGCAACAGCAGTAGCAGCAGCAACAGTAACAACAATAACAACAGCAACAGCAACAAACAACAACAACATCATCATCATCATCATCATCAACCACTCCTACTGCGCTACTACGCTGCTGCTGCTGCTGCTGCTGCTACTGCTACTGCTACTGCTACTGCTACTACTACTACTACTACTACTACTACTACTACTACTACTACTACTACTACTGCTACTGCTACTACTACTACTACTACTACTACTACTACTACTACTACTACTACTACTACTAAAACTACTACAACTGCTACTGTCACTACTACAGCCACAACTAAGCCACGACTACTGCTCTGCTGTCATCACGACCATCGTTACTTCTGTATCCTGTTCAGACTAAACAATGCATTACTACATACATCACGCCAAAGAACTGAGCAGGTAGAAATTGGCTCACAGGTACGCACTTTACCTACACGTTCTACGCGGTGGAACTCAAAAACCCACATGCACACTGCGCTCGGCACACAGCTCACGCTGATACACTGCACACTGCGCCGACCACTCGCCACTGCTGCGTGAAGTGAAAGCCACGCTCGACGGGGATGCGGAGTGCGCAGCTTCACCTGCTCGCACGCCCACCGCCCGCCCGACGTCATAACGGCTGCGCACACGGCGATCGCAGTCTCAACTGTCCGACAGACGTACAGAAGCACCCACGGTCGCACGCACGCACGCACGATCGCACGGTCGCACGCACGCACGGTCGCACGCACGCACGGTCGCACGCACGCACGGTCGCACGCACGCACGGTCGCACGCACGCACAGTCGCACGCACGCACGGTCGCACGCGCAGGCAGACACAGGCAAGAAAGCACGCATGCTCGCACGCACGCACGCACGCACGCACGCGCACGGGCAGGCAGGCACAGGCAGGAACGCACGCACAAGCGAGCACACGCACGCACGCACGCACGCACGCGGGACCACACACACACTTTACCTCTAGTATATACAGGCATGCACGCACGCACGATACGACATATACGCGCGCAAACACACACACCGCGCAGACACGCACGCAAGCACGAACGCACACACACGCACACACACGCACACGCACGCACGCACGCACGCACGTACACACACCCGCACACCCACGCGCGCGCAAACCTTATCCCTAGTATATAAACGCGCACACATTTTACCAAGAGTACATAATAGGAGATCTCCTATTATGTACTCTTGATTTTACCCATACTACAAACAGCCACACGCGTTTTACCTAGTGTTGTCAATCGGTTGTAATTTCGTAATCGATCATCGGTTGGACCCAAGTAACCGATGATCGCTTACAATCGGTTACTCGGGGTGTTGAATGCCTGCGTGCGCGTAACGTCGTGTACATGTACGTGTGTGCATGTATGTGCTTGTTTAGCCCTGTTTACTGTTTGTTTTGCACTGTTTACTACTGTGTGTATAATACATGTATGTTAATAAAGGATAACTGTATAGTAGCGATGATATCTCTGATTCTCATCACTTTTCCAAGTTTTCTTGTACAAATTTAAAAAAAAAAAAATTCGATTATGGGTTTTGATAACCAAGCGCTTGGTTCGAGCCACTGTTCAACCGATGATCGAGTATAATCGATGATCGTGACATCACTAAGCGCTTGGTTCGAGCCACTGTTCAACCGATGATCGAGTATAATCGATGATCGTGACATCACTAGTTTTACCCCTAGGCTAGTATATAAACGCAATCATGCACGCACTCACGTAGGCACGCACGCTCGCACGCGCGCAGACACACAGCGTTATGCCAGTGGCCGCTCATATCAGATCGCTCCTCTGAGAACAAGATAAAGCCTCATCGCAATCACAAATGCGGGGCGAGGTTTTTGCTGTGCTGAGATTGATACGGTTCGGTGGGCTTCCGAGAAGATGAGAAAAACGAATGCACGGGAAATAATTGGGAACGTGTGGCCAGCCTAAAGAGATTTCTCGTTCGCATGGCCCGAGCCATTCGTTGGAGTCAGCGCGACTCACGAGTAACGGCTCCTTTACTCGTTAATTATGTTAATTATGTTAATTACGTTAATTACGCACGTAGATGATGGTCCGATATCACGATACCGTCACGAGCATACGCTCTGTTCATGTGTGCATGAATAATTTATGTGTTCTTGATATGATTTCGGAAGTGAGTGACGCTTATTACCAACCTACACACCTATCCCACCCACCACCATTGTTTGCGTTGCTTCTTCCATGATTGATAGCAAAACTAAACCGATGCCTCGTCTATCGTGTCAAAATCCATGAACGTGTCCGAGTAATGAAAGCTGAGCCGTTTACATTGACTAACATCCGTTATGCTATCGTGAGCCGTTCGCTGCACTGCACTCTTCACTCAAAACATACACGAGCTCATATTTCCACTAACAGACCATTCTTTTCTTTCAAATGTGCCCTCTCGCAAATAAGACTATTTTGTCCTAATAACAGACCAATAATGTTTACCTAAATCTTCTACTGCCATACTCGAAACGATGACTTTTTATCTGATGTAGCAATGGTCTAGCACAATCGCTATTAGAATAGAAAAAAGAGGAAGACCACGGAATATAAAGTACGTACAGATGGAGGCACAACTTGGGGGAGGGGGAAAGTCGTGCATGATAAGTGGGTAAATACCAGTAAAGTACAATGCGCATATTCCGTGGTACCTATACACATTATCCTCTACCACTATCATGTGCTCTACCTACTCCTGCTTCCTATCACCAGCACTTTTCTGCACCACACCGCTCCTTGTTCACTGCCTGCCCGTCTTCCCACGCACGTCCGGTTCTCCATCATCATCTCTCACACCTTGCTCTTCCCTTTAGGTTCCTCCTCGCTTTTTTCCATCTTCCTTACACTCCACTCCTACTCCACCCTCCACGTCTATATATTCCTTTCGTCCTCTTCACTGTTCCCCTCACCATCATTATCATCGTCGTCACCGCCGTCACGGCCACCACCATAGCCCTCCTCCTACTTTTCCTCCTCCTCCTCCTCCTCCTCCTCCTCCTAGTCTACTTACTTTACATTTCGACTAATGCGGCGATACTGTAATACACAATGATTGATCGGCGAGTGAAAAATTCTTCTGGATTTATTTTGGCCAATGCACACGAGCACCTACATGACTATAAATACGAATACTGTTGGTGAAGCCGTTAATATTTTCGCTGCTATTGTCGGAGTAAATACACGCGCACATGCACACACATATACACACGTACAAAAACACACACGCACACATACACGCGCGCACACACAGACACATATGCACGCGCACAGACACACACGCACGCAACAGCAATCTCACTGAGCACGTACCACACCACAAGCCCACATACACGCCCAAACGACGCGCAGCGACGGCGCACGGCCAGCGCACAGCACACGCACACGCACACGGCACACACGCACACACACACACACACACACACACACACACACACGTGCGTATAGGTGCGGACGCTGGCGACGTTATGTGAGGGGCATCTAATACTACATCAGACGAACTCAACCTCGGCGTGTGCACGTCATGTACTTAAAGCAACTACTAATTCCGCAGCTAGTTTTTCCGCCAGAATCGTA